CTTGTGAGGCAGGCGCCGGAACCACTGAGCTAAATCCCTGGCCCCTCCTATATGTATTTTTAAAAATTAACAATTTGTTTAGATTAAAAATAAATATTTTATTTTCCATTAAAAAATGACACCCAATCAAAAGTGACAAGCTAGGAGAATGTTGGTAATTTGAAGGTTTCAGGCCCAGAAACTAGAAAGCTCTAGACTCTATCTGTCTACAACTAGTCTGGGATTGGTGGTTGTTGGTAGAAAAGCAAAAAATATCATGGAAAACTGGTCATAAAATCACATGCTTTTAGATTTCCAAGAACTGTAAGTGACTACTACTATATGCCTATAACCCTAAATGACTGATTTAAATGTATGCAAGGAACTAACAGCTGTTCTATTTTAATATTTGTAACAAAAACAACCTGAAAAATTAAGCATCCTTACCTGCTGAGAAAAGAGAGTACAGCTGTCCTCCATGAGCAAGAAGGACACTGGACATAACATAAGCAGGAAGAGCACCTCCATGAAATCTAACTACCTGAAAGCAGACAGATCAATGGAAAACTTCTGAAAATTCATGTTAATGAAACAAATGTACTTTCACACAAAATAAGAAAGTTTATTCTTCACTTCACACTTTCCCTAACATGGCTGCAAAGACATCTCCAGTAATGAGTATCAAAAACCCTAAGTAGAATAAATACTTTTATAGCCGGATATAAGCACACCTGAATTTTTTCATCAAAGGCATAACTGAGTAGCCTATACTAGGAGACTGTTCTTCAAAGTATATTTATTGACTACTTCACAAGTTCCAGGGTTGGTACTAAGCATCATATATGCATTATCTCATGCTTTCCTCCAAAAACCCCTTGAGGCAATTCTCATTCCCATTTATGGGTGAAGAAATCCAGGTGCAGAAGCCCAAACACCCTGAACAACTACAAACACAACAGGCAAGTCATCTCCTTCTCTCTCCATGTGCTTTTCCACAGAAAGGGGAGAACAATATCTATGGGTGGTTACGATTAAACATGCCTGTTGTGTAAAGAACCTAGAGTATCATCTCTTATATGATGAGCTACCAGGAAATGTTAGCTGCAATTATTAACCTTTATGTCTTCCACTATCATGGCTGCTATCAAACTGGAATTAAATTCAGAGCCTAAGTTCATCATCACAGTACAGTGAGTCACTCTATCAGCTGACCCAATTTGTTTAAACATATGTATAATAAAAACAGTGTTAAGTTCTTTTCTTAATGTTAACTTTAAAAGTATTCACTTGAAAGCATGCTGTCCATTCCACGGAATTTATTCTTTTTGTTTTTTGAGTCAGGGTTTTACTCTGTAATTTATGCTGGCCTTGAACTCACTATGTAGCTTAGGCTGGCCTCAAACTCATGGCACTCTTCCTGCCTCAGCCTCCTGAGTGCTGGGATTACAGGTGTGTACCACCACACCCAGCTCCCTGGAATTTCTTGGAACATGTACAGACTCCCTTGTTAATCTGATGAAATGTGTAGAAGTACAAGTTAACCCAAAACGTTGCACAGGATTCCAGAAAGTCCCTCCATGGACCCCCAGGTTGAAAAAGATTAGAAAAATCCAAAAGAAATTTATAGTCTACACTCATAACTGGTACTCACTGCCTGCTGGTGATGGATTCATCCTCTTTCATAACAGTAGACTAAAGAACATTTTCCTCTTTCCTTTTTCAGAAGAAAACCCATTAATTTTATGAAAAATATCTATCTACAGGTTAAAGACTCTCTCTCAGTTGTTTCCTTTTTATCCATCTTTCTCAGTTTTCTGTGATCATATCAACAACATTCAAAGCACTTACTTTTCAAACACTAAGTAAGACAGATTATACTATTTGAGTTCATTTCATGCCATCTACAAGCAAGAAGGAAGATGTTATATTTTTCAAAAGTTCTAGGACTTAATTACAAGTTTTTTATTTGACATTTTAAAAAGTACCCACCCCTTACCCTGTAAGAGCAGCACATCTTTACTCTTTAGAAAGATTTCCACATCTAAACAATATTAGCCTGCTGAGGGTGGTGGCGCAGGCCTATAACCCCAGCATTCAGAAGGAGAGGCAGGAAGATCCCTGCGAGTTCAAATGCCGTGGCTTCACCCTGAACTCCTGTGTGCAGGAATGTGCCTTTTGGAAGTGCTAAATGTACAAAAGCATGAATTCTTCCCCTCCATAAAAGATAACAGTGATTGGTCTTTAACATTTTAAAATGCAACATATCTGTGATGCCCTTTTCTAACTTATGTATACTAACATGTAATATTCCTTTCATAATTTGTTATTCCTTTTAAAGTTGTTATACTTTAACTCAGAATTTTGTCATGTTCACAAATTTAATAATCAGAATCTAGCTCTCCTCAGGTGGCTATAAGGATCAAATGAGATAATGCATATAAAAATTCTATGCCTGGACTGAAAAATACAACCAATCAAATAAAAGCTACAATGAAAATTTTACTTAATTTTAATAATATCCATAGTTTTACTGTTTGATAAATTATTTTATAATATCACTTGCAAATGAATTTCAATATATTTCTAACAAAATTTATTTTTAGCTTTTACACACTGAGATGCACAATATAAAAAGTTCCTTATAAATACTCACTTGCAAAAAAAAAAGCCTCGCTTGTAAGGTCTGCCTGTGTGTTCACTGTGCTACGAACAACAGTGTAGTATGATTAATGTGATGGTTTGATCTTCTATGACATTTGCTTAGGTAAACATTAAATTGGCTGAGAACTAGGTATCAGCTCCCATTTCTGCGATGTATCAAACATGAAAAAGCAAGGTGGATACTTTGTGTGCCAAGGATGGTTTTCAGAATTTTTTTTTTTGATACTGGGGATCGAACTCGGGACCTTGTGCTTGTGAGGCAGGCAGCAGAACCACTGAGCTAAATCCCTGGCCTGGTTTTCAGGTTTTATTAAAGTGGAAGAGGAGTGAGAAAAAAGGAAAAGAAAGAAGCAGCTGTAGGCGTGGCAGCAGTCAGAGCTGGATGTGTCTCCGCGTTAGTGACGCACAGCAGGGCCATGAGCTGTTCACAGGGCAGTAAATAACAGCCAGGGACCGCTTACCTGTCCGAGAATCTGTGAAAAGGAGGTCTTGACTGTCACCTGGTTTAAAGCAGTTATTAAAAAGAACGAGGTTATTTTCCTTACATTCTGGTTCACATTTTACTAAATTGCCTAATTCTGCACATCTCTAAGTATAATTTTTTATAATGATAGACCTTACAGCATAAAAGATCTTAAAAGAATCATCTCAACAACTTTTTAAATTGTGTAAATACAGATTTACCATTTAGTATATTTTCCAGTATTCTAATTCTTCAGCAGGCAGAGGAACTTCATGGTATGTGTGGTAACCCTTTACTAACTTGATTATTTAAGCAGAATGTTATTAACAGATCATGGTGGACAACATAATTCTTACTATTACTTTAATTTATTAGAATTATGAATGTGTAAGTTAAAAACCATTATAACTCTACAAAACCCTTCACTGTTGGAAACAATTATGACAAAGCATTCATAAATACCATGAAATGAAAATTAATTCATAATGTAGGTCCAACAAAAACTTGAAGAAACAATCTATTAACTCGACAATACCAATCCTAGTCTACCCTTAAGAAAGTTAGTTCTAATAAAGAATCCAAATATTTAAGCTTGATTTAAAGCAGGTGAGCAGAAATATTCCACATAAACCACAAGACTGAGCTGCTGCTCCCACCGAAATGTGCACTTTAACCACTCAGATCTGGAACCTTTGAAGCTGGCCTGTTCAAACACAGGCAGAGGCTCAGGTCATGCACCAGTAAGTAAATAAAGCACAACCCTCAAGCTTACACCCTTCATTTAGGAGAAAGAGATCTACTCTGACTATAACACAACACAATGGGCACTGACCCGCACCTGTTAATGACTAACAGCTTAAAGGATGAGTGCAAAGAAGACAAGATCCTTATGCTAAGTCAGTGCAGATATAAACCAATAAGCACCAGGCCAATTACTGTCAGTAATGCCAGTCAGCTGATTTCATTTCAGTAAGTTCTTTAATCTATAAAACATTCTGAGCCTTTGGCTTCCAAATTTAGACAGCTAATCTGCAGTTTCAATCTTTGTTTTATTTTCTATTACTTATTAAGATGTATACAATTTTAAATGATCCAGCTAAGGAAATGCTGAGGTAATGCAAACAGGCAAGTGGAGAATATTAAAATATTTTAAATGTTTATTTCTGACACTTATGGGCTTTGACATCACCATGTATCTGCAGCTAATGTAAAAATACTTCTACTTTATTCCATAAATCTTGCTTGAAGATTATGCAAACATATAACTTACCTCATACTGACAGTCTGATGATGTGTACATTTTTAATAATGCCACGTGGCTGTCATTTTCTGGCTGAGCAATATGAAGTTTCAGAGAAATTTCTGTGGAAGATGGAACCCTGAAGAGACAACCTAAGTATCAATTCTCAAATACAAAATGCTGGTGAACAGGACTGGTGAAGGCAGCCCTCAGCAGCACACAGTGGATGACTGCAGAGGAGGCCACACACTGGACCCCTCACTACAGGTGGCTCTTTCTGGTCACAACGAAATGGCCTGACACTCCCTCTCAAGGACTTAGGAGTTGGGGTGGAGTGGAAAGGTGTTCATGCTTCAAGCAAGTAAGGTTTACACTTCGTAAAATGTAATGAGAATACTACATGTCATTGTCACTTATGAGCACAATGCTACATAACGGGCATTTACACTCATAAGAGGCACTGTAACTAGTCATATAACTTAGATAAATAAAGCATTACTGCTGGTCGGGGTAGGTCCCTCAAAGGCTCCTGTGCTGAAGGTGTGCTGGCTGACGGGCTTCCAAAGTGACTGCAGCATGGGGCTCTGCCTCATCAGTGACTCATCTGCCGAGGGACTGATCAGAGGGACTGATCAGACGGTGTTATTGGGAGGGGATGTATACTGCGGGTGGGGCCGGGTTGCAGGGGTGGCCTTGGAGGATGTAACTGGCCCCTTTCTCTGGTTCTTTCCCTCTCCCTCTGCATCCTGGCTGCTGAGAGGCGAGCAACTTTCCTCTGTCAGGCTCTGCCACCATGACACTGCCTTGGAGCCAGGAGACCAGGGACTGAAACCTCTGAAACTTTGAGCCAAATTACATCCTTCCTCTTCTAAGCTAATTTTCTAGGGGTATTTAGTCACAATGTCAAAAAGCTAACACATAACCTAAGCAGAATATCTATTTTACTAAATAACAACGAAGTTTAAAATAAGTTCTTTCATATACTTACTGTGCAATAGTTAGCGAATCTTCATAAGACCAGGGGATATGAAGTTTATAGATACTTGTTATTTCTTCTATGGAAACAAAAGAAAAGATGCATTATGTATCATGTTACCCTAACATTTACAGAAACTACCAGAGTACCTAACTATATTACTGCCTAAAACTTAGTAAGAGCTGCAGCACATGACAAGAAATCATAGAGAATTCCTAACTAATAATGATTCAATTAGACTTACAAAAGCTATTAAAGCACATGGGTAGTAAGTACTAAGAAACTGGGAAAAATCAAACAGCTAAATCTGAATTACTACTATATAAAGATATGAAGATATACAGTATTTTAAAGATGTGAATATTTAAACTGAAATGTGAACATACTTTTTATTTTTCAGAAAATATATTTACCTTTGGTTCCTGAGCACTTGCTTACCACATTGAGTTTAAAAGCTTGGTATATCTAATAGAATTTGACCAGAAAAACAAAACAAAACAAGCTTATTTATTTGTTTCATTAAATGACAATATAAAATCAAATCCTCCCTGGGGCAGTCAGGATAATTACCTGCCCAAAGTTCAGCAGCTCTAAAGTATAGTACAGGCCACTTGTATTCAATAGCACTTTCCTTGAAGACAATCCTGTTGAATTAGAAGTACTGTGTTATTTGGAATATCAGAATTTTTAATGCATTTGCTTAAACAGTGTTAAAACAATGCCATCAGTTCTGATATTAAAAGACATTTCATAGCTTTTTAACTTCTGGTATGGAGGAGTCAACAACTCTTAAAAATCCAATCTTCCTGTAGTCAAGCCTGCACAAAACAGAGTATTTATAATGACTTTAAATTATAGCCATGTGTACTTATTTCTAATTTTAGAAATATATGCTTTCTTTTTAGCTCTTTTTATAAACGTGCTCTCTTTAATGATATTGGTGATTCAGAGCTGTCATTTCTATAATGTTCTAAATATTTTTGTACTTTAAAAAAGTGGGGGGGGGTGGGGTGGCAAGGATTTAGCTCAGTGGTTTTGCTGCCTGCTGCGCAAGTGCAAGGACCCGAGTTCCATCCCCGGTACAAAAAAAAAAAAAAAAGTGTGTGTGTGTGTGTGTGTGAGAGAGGTAAGAACCTCAAAGAAAGTAAGGAAGTTTCTTACTTTAAATTAACACAGATTCTGCCCATGAACGGTGTATGTGTGTAAAGTATATTATTATTATTATTTTTTTTGGTACTGGGGATCGAACTTGGGACCTTGTGCTTGCGAGGCAGGCGCCAGAACCACTGAGCTAAATCCCCGGCCCCAAGTATATTATTTTTCAATGTGGAGGACGAGGCACAGCAGATGGACACAGAAGCCTAACTAAAATACCACCTAATATCCAAAGCTGGAACAATTTAAGCAAAAGAATAAATGACAGTATTGGATCATAGTCCAGTAAATAAATATTCATGAGTCCAAACTAACATAAAAATTGAATAACCCGCTGTGGGTGGTACACACCTGTAATCCCAGCACTCAGGAGGCAGGATGAGGGCCATGAGTTCAAGGCCAGCCTGGCCTACATTCAAGGCCATAGTGGGATACATAGTGAGACCCTGTCTCAAAAACCAAATACCAAAAGCAAAAAAAAAATAAAAAACTTGAATAAATATACAAATGTGAGAGAAGTGGTAACTTTGTGTCTTGGGAAAAATTTCAATAATGTGGAATAAAAGGATAATATTTGCTAAAGACTAGTTGAGCCAATGAATGCTAAAACTAATGAGTTATTCTGATGAAAAATACTATTTTCATACTCTCAAAAATATTTCCCCCAAGATATTTATTAATTACAAAAGGAAAAGCAGTTAATTTTCCAGTGTAAACTCCGGCAGGCACCACCTTAACCAAGAAATGAAGGTGAGCACTGCTGGTAATGATACACTTGAGAATGCTTATCGCCTCTGTGGTATTCTTGGAAAAATGCCTAACTCTGATCTAATCACAGGAAAACAGACAAAGCCAAACTCAGGAATGTCCTACAGAATAAAAGGTTTTGGGCCAGGGATTTGGCTCAGTGGTTTCGCCGCCTGCTGTGCAAGCACAAGGACCCGAGTTCGATCCCTGGTACCAAAAAAAAAAAAAGAATAAAAGGTTTTAAGGTTATAAACACAAGAAAGACTGTGGAACTGTCACGTATCACAGGAGACAAGGGAGATGATGTGACGCCCACTGTGGGGTGGGCAGCAGGGAGGGAAGTTGTCAGTGCAGTAACTGACAAAAAGCAAACCAGCTTCGCTCTACACTGTTGTGATATTTGTGTAAGATGTCAACAACAGGAAATGCGGGTAAAGGAACTCTGGACTCTTTCCTAACTTTTCTGTAATTATTTTAAAATAAAGCTTTAGAATAATATTTAAATTATGAAATTTCATAGGAAAGGTAGCAATTTCTAACCTGTAATAAAAACTTCATGAAAAGTGCCAGCATTCAGTATAAATTTCATATAACGCACACACATATATACACTCGATTACCTTAAAATGTATGTGATTACGGAAAATAACCTTTAAAATTCACTTCTGAGAAGATGACTGCTGGCCCAGTACTACCTGAGAATCAGACCACTACACCACACCATCTGGTTACCCTAAGAACTACATTCACAATGTCGTAGGCTCAGTGTGCCAAGGCTCTGCTTTATTGGAACTCACTGGCAAAAAAAGCAGCACTCCCTTAGAAATACGACTGATTCTTAAATAGTTCCAAAAGCAGCACATTCCTGTAAGCTCGCGACTGGGGAGGCTAAGGCAAGAGGATCAAAGTTTGAGGCTAGTCTGAGCAACTTAGCAGGACCACGTCTCAAAATAAGATAACAAAAAGGCTGGGGATAAGGCTCAGTGTAGAGTGCAGTGGGATCAATCCCCAGTACTGGAAAAAATAGTTACCCCCAAACAAAGTACTTACCAAAGGAAAAAAGATGAGTTACAGGAAGCTGTATTGATCTAGTCTCTTTTTTAAAGAATTCGCAATCTACAACAAACTGAAATTTAAAACATTGATTTATTAGAAAAATAGAATCAAATTTATAGTAAAATATCTTGGTATTTGAGTAGAAAATAAAAGTCTACAACCTTAGCTTTGGAAAATGTATCAATGATCACACTATACCTCTAACTCAGCGGCAAGAACTCCTATTCTCTTTTCTTTCTTTTCTTGTTGTCCCTTCTTTCCTTTCCCCTCCTCCCTCAAGAACTCCTCAAAGAGAAATGGTATGCTGAGAAAATTTAATAAATAAGCTTAATTTAAATAGGTTATAATAATAGATGCATAGCAAAGTTTTCTAGTAATTTTAGGTATTTGTAGAAGGACATAAAAGGATGGACCAAAGATTCACAATTCAAGAATATGTAGGGATTTAGATACCATAGGCTTGAATATGTTCATAGTCAAAATGAAAATGTAACTTTGTTACACGTTTGTGAAAAATCCTACATTTACTAAACAGCTACAGTCTAATGAAGTGACAAAAGGCTGCGAGTGCTTGCTGCCACTCATCCACAAATACTAATGTTAGTTGTGTAAGATGATTTCAGGTTAAACAGTTACTGTAGTAGGTGGAAAACATTTACTACATATGAAGGAAAAGAAGTGCTTCCAGAGAGGAAACTACAATGTGACATCCACCCCATTATAATTTGTGTAGAGACCACACCTCTGTAATAACATTTCTAAAACTGTGTAAGAAACACTGTTCTTAGTTATCTGCAAGAGGAACCGTTTCTGGCAAAAGTGCCAGTTGGGTGAAAGAATCCCCACAGTGCAGCCCACTAGACTGCTTACAGGAACCGAGGGAGACGGCCGGGAGTCTGGTCCACAGGGAGTGGACAGACCTCAGGGCCCAGCCTAGGCTTTTTGGCAACTAAACCTTGGAATCTGGAACAGCATTACTCTGCTTGCCTCTTGGGTGGATTTTCCATGGTTTTTCAAAGTGGAAAACAGACGTGGGAAATGGCTCTAAGACTGCAGTACTTGGGGTGGGGGGAGGGGGTGGTTCATTAAGGGCTTTACTTTTTATTTCTCCCTCATAAGGCAGAGAACACAGACATTTTCACTAAGAAAGCAACTGTTGAAAGAGCAGAGCAATCATTTACTGAACAGGATTTTTTATTATACTGTATTTTTATGTAGTACTTTTGTACCTGAGACAAGGAGTAGTTTTTAAAAGCAATTTCAATTACTTTGTACAAGTATTTAAAATAGAATTTTCACTGTTGTTTTAAAAATCTGGCTGGGCCTTTAGGTTTTTTTGAGACAGGGTCTCATTATGTAGTTCAAGCTGATCCTGAGCTCACCATGTAGCCCAGGCTGCCTTGAACTTGTGGCGATCCTCCTGCCTCAGCCTCCCCAGTGCTGGGATGACAGGCGTGCGCCACCATGCCCGGATTGCCTTTACTTTTGCACAACAGACTAAATCCTTATCCAAGAAAGAGAATTCAAAGGTCTGTCTCTAAAACATTGAAGGCAAGCACATTTCTAATGGGTATAATTATTTTGTTTTTTATCATCAAAAAAATGCAGATAATTCCACATTTGTATTTCAGAAAACAGTAAGAAAGGTGACAGCTGACACAAACTCCTCCCACTCTGCCTGTGTGATAGGTACAGGCCTCTGATGATGGCTATGACACAGACTTGCAGACAGCGGAAGAGGCCCAAGTCATCATCTGAGCGAGGCAGGGCTGGTAACACGGAGATGACCATGCTGCTTTCCAAAGAGCATCAGGACATAGTACGTGTCTATCAGGCTACTACGAGGGTCTACTGCAGAAAGGCTTGTTAAGTGCTTGGAATAACCACAGAAGGCCTTTCCAAGTCTGGGGAAGATGTTAGATTCATTCAAAACCCACTGACCTGACAGAAAAACCTTTAAGAGAGCTTTTAGCACTGCAGATGCTGAATTACCTCTCACTTGAGCTAAGCAAAGCAAAGCAATGAATCTGTTACAAGGTGTTTGTGAAACTCGGTCTCTGAGATGCTTCCAACTACAGCCACTTTTCTTCTATTTCTTTTGAATTTCCATAATCATTCTGCCCATAAATCGTATCAATTTTCTCATTCAAAAACATTAAAAAAATTTATGTGGTAGGCACTAAAGGTTGCGGATGCAAAGCAGAATAAAACTTTTCTCATTGTTACACTCAAAGAGATCACAATATAGCAATGGCCATGGAGACATACATCGAAACTCAGTGTAACACACCCCTGGAAACTGTCATCCACAGAGTAGAAGGGGATCAAGTGGAGGTCTGTGGAGCAGCCTGGGAACGGACAGGGGACTTGGGGTGGGCCCCGAAGAACAGGTCTGCTGGTTAAACGGGAAAGACCACAGGGGCCTTTAAACCTCACCTTCTCCCCCAGCTCGTAAAATCACCACTATTCTACTTACATTCCCTCTTCCCTACTCACGAGCCCTCACAACCCCTTTCAAGGTGTCTAGTCTTATTTCTGATCCACTTTAAAATAAACAGCTTAATCGGGCTGGGGATTTAGCTCAGTGGTTCCGGCGCCTGCTGCACTAGCACAAGGACCCAAGTTCAATCCCTGGTACCAAAAAACAAAACAAAACAAAAAAAAACCAGCTTAATCTTCCAAAATTAATCACCTCAGACTCCATCACTACTGTGGTGAAAACTTCCCGTTTCCCAGGACTTCGGAATTCCACAAAGCCCTGCATCTTCCAGTGATGGCCTCTGTAATATGGCCAAGAACTTCTCCCCACTATCACTCTAGCCCCGGTAGCCAATCCTTCAAAATTGCATATGCACTCATTGCTTTCCAAATATACACCATACTTTCACACCAACTGTGCTCACCATTCCTTGCTGGAAAGTGCTGTCCAGATTAGTCTCTAAAACATAGCTAGAACAACTAAGGAACTGAATTTTTTTTTTTTTTCAAGACAGGGTCTCACTGTATAGTTCAGGCTGGCTTTGAACTCATGGCAGTCCTCCTGTCTAGGCTCTGAAGTGCTGGGTTACAGGTGTGCCACCACACCCAGCAGGAAATGAATTTTAAACTGCATTTAATTTTGATTAGTTTATATTTAAGCAGCCCATGTGCCAATAATTTTCATATTGACAGCACCAATCTAGAATGTTTGTCCTACCTATAAAAATCCCAACTATCCTTTAAGGACATTTTAAATATCACCTCGCTGTAAAGCTATTTTTGATTCCTTCAATCCAAATTGTCTCTTCCTTTTATGTTGACTTGTATCACATTTATTTAGGTATTCCTTCTTTCTTATTCTTCCCCTACTAAAGAGTGACAAGTGACAAGTAGTCTTTTATGTAAAGGGTGCCTAGTAAGTAACAGATTTTGCGAGACTGATAAACAGGAGCTCTTTTCTCACGCGGAGCATAGAGTCTTGGGTTTATTCTGCTTAGTTCACATTGGAGTAAGCATCTTAATGACTGAGCAGCCTCAGGTGAATCACCAAAACCAGTCACTGTTTTAGATAAGCCCCATGTGCGAGAACTGATCAAGAAGCAAACTTAACTTTAGCAAGAGCAACCCCAAAACATTCTGAAAACAACCCTAACCCATTTGTTACCTTACTTCCATGAACTGATGGAACATAAACGACAAGATGAGACAAAGACGGATAGTCCTGAAGTCTTAATGTCAGAGACTAAAGAAAGATAAATTACAAGCGGTTAGTTCTCAATTTGTTACTTAAAAGCATTTCAGAGAGTACATGCTTAGCACATCCAAGGCTCTGGGTTTAATCCTTAGCATCAAAAATTTTTTCTAAAAATTCAAATGCACATATTTACACTGGTAGATAAATAATCCTATAGGAAATAAAATCCCTAATAGTTATACTGAACATGGACTACCCAGAATAGGCCTTTGGCATACCCTCATGTGGAACAAGTGACACCCAGCCCTACTTTAATCACAGTTATCTGCAGACTCGGCACCTTAGGTTTGTGATTTGGCTCTGTGGAGCAGACAGCATCACAGTACCGTCTCCTCACTTACTTTGGTGGTGTGTGACACAGTAGTCCATAGTTGGTGAATGGATGCCAAAGATGATGGAGAGTTACTGTGTAATCTCAGATGAGTCCAACCTAGCCAGGTAGCAAAGAGCTTCTGGCTGACAGCACCCATGAACATCATCCCCTGGAATTTATGGAATAAATGACGAAGATGCCATGCAGCTCATAATGCACTGCAGCAAATGAAAAAACTACAGTTCTTAACATTAAGAGCCAATCCTAACAGCAAGTGTTCTGAGGAATGAACAGGTCTACTAATAGTATGCCAAACTTCTAAATACAATTTTTAATCCAGGTTTTCTCTGGAAGAAGACATGGGGTGGGAATATGTTAAAGTATGTTTACATTAAAAGATTTCTACAGAACAGCTTCCTGCAGCCTTTTGCAGAAGCACCAGTATGGGGGAATTAGGACAGAGTGCTGAAGTTAACACACACCTGTCACTGGGTCAGTTGAATGGCCCTGTTACACCCTGACCAGATTCTGCCCACTTCAGCAAAGTCTTGGCAGCACTCAGATGTTCCAACATAAATCCAAGGGTCATAAAAGGGCCACATAAATCAGTGACAGGCAGCTGAGACCCACCATGAAAGGCAGACAGCATGAAAGATAAATTAGTTAGGAAGAGCTTAGACACTGTGTAACAGCTACCCATGCTTAATAGCTTCTACATACTAAACTCATTCTCAACAATCAAAGCGTTCAACTTATAAGCGTTTAGCTAGGGGGTTTGGTCAGCAAAGATTCTTGTGAGTGATATGATTTTTATTTGACATTACCTTTGTTAAGATGAATAAAACCCATAAAACTTTTTCATTTTAATCATCCCTTTAACTTTGTGGCAAAATAACTGTACTACTTATAAATGGCTAACACACATTATATGAAATCTTGATTTTCATCATAATGGAAAAGTTTATACCTAGTAATTATAACCTTCTTATGCTGAGAACACCCAGGAATGCAGAATATTGAAATCCTTGTTTTCTAAGTTCTCCCTTCCAGCATTCTCTACAAAAAGGAAGTAGCTGGAATAACTCATTCTCCTGCTGTTCAGCAAGTCTGTTTCTTACATTCAGAACACAGGGGCCCAGAGCTCGATAAACACACGTTCAATCTTTGGAGATAAAAAAATAATATAAAGATTTTATGATTTAAGAAATAACTTCAAACACAGGAGAGCAAAGTACATTTTCTAAGGTTTTTAATCATTTGTTTTCTTCCTAACTCTTAAATTTAAGAGGGACAGAATATTTAAATTGGAAAATGAAGGACAGATATCATATGCCTTATGAATGATTAATTAATAAGTACATTCTAATACTTTGTTTTGCTCCTGCCTAGAAGGTTAGCATAGAATCAGTGAGACCTGAAAAATGTTCATGAGTCAAATTACTTCGCTAAAATATTTGTTCCATAAATACAAATAATATTCACTCCATGAATGAATATGCACAGAGTAGATTGACAAAGGTGATAGAAAAAAACTGCAACCATTCCAGCCAAATGTAAGAAGTCTGCAATTATTCTTTCTGTACCATTCCTCTCTGTTAGCGAAAATAACTTAATTGGTGTCAGGTTAATTAGGAGATGACTGGGAATAACCAGATTGATTTCTCTTTGAAGTCTGAGTCTAGCATTCACTAGGAAACTATTTTATTTTTAAAGTATCAATTCACTTGAAGACTGAAAACTATCAATTCTGGTATAATACTATCAGTTATAATACATGAAATTTGGAAATGAGATAACTTTTTTTTCGTACTAGAGATCGAACTCAGGCCCTTGTGCTTCTGAGGCAGGCGGTGGCACCACTGAGCTAAATCCCTGGCCCTGGAAATGAGATAACTTTTACCTAATTTTAAATTTTTCCCTTTTCAGTAATATTATGTAAATAAGTATTTTTTCCATAAGACTTGCTACTCCACTAGACTCTGGTAAGGAAGCCACCACCACCCATCGGGTAACTCCCTGCTGCGATGTGCCACCCGGAGAGAGGGCGGCAGAGGCAACTCCTCTCAGAGCTGACCCTCGTGCGGTGCTGAACCCATCTGAAAATTACTTCACATCTCTCTGGGATGCCCACTTCCCTAAGGTACTTCCTCTCAAAACGAAATTCTGAGCAAAAGACACTAATCAGCTTATAGCTTAAGACAAACTAGACACACTCTCAAATTTAATTTAAAAAATCAATTAAACCTTTAATATGATGCTGTAACATACAGAGATTCATAAAATTGTTAACTTATAAGTCTTTTCTTCCCCCCAGCACTGGGGACCAAACCCAGCCCTTGCACATGATGGGCAGGTGCTCTACCAATGTGGTCACCTAGCTGTTAAACGCTAACTGCCTATCACTCTAAGGAAAACATTTGCAACATGTACATCAACAATGAAGTTTATGAAATACCCAAGAGCATATTCTAAAATGTCGACGGGCTCAAGTACTTTTTCACCTGATTAGTAAGGTTGTAAAGCTACATTTACCTTAATTGTTGGCAGCAGTTCAACTTTCCACGACAGATCAACCCCTTGCTGGCTTTGAAATAAATACAAAATATAATTAAAGAACAAATATACTGAAGTATTATAAACTACAAATAAGCTTCAGAGGAAAATTATCTAGACCTAGTAGAGAGAGTTAAAATAAACAAACCACAGTCTAGTGAGTCTAATCAGTACTCTCTGTCCACATAGTTCCTTTGGCAACAAAAATAAAAATTGTTTTTCTTAACTATCAACTGCTTTTAATGTTTATAAAAATTACTAGTATATTCATTTCTCTTACTTTTCACTTAAAGATACTGTAACGATGTAACAACAAAATGAGTGTAAGAACACACATAGGCATCTATGACTCCTGAGCACTGTTTGAGAATAGAAGGCACTAAGTGCATAAGACTTACCACATAGAAGTGCTGTTTATGCAGCCAAAAATCCAACTGTTTGTATCCTGTTGATGAATAATGCAAAACAAAACACACTAAATATTGTGGCAAATACGGCAGAAAACACATTGAATATCGTATAAAATATTGTTCTACAAATCTTCGGTGCCTTCCAGGTACACGATGAGTAGCAGCAAGGGAAACATAAAGCAGCATCTGTGATTGACATCATACCCCACAAATGTAGGTTTCTTTTTTTTTTTTGGTACCAGGGATTGAACTCGGGACCTTCTGCTTGCGAGGCAGGCGGTGGCACTACTGAGCTAAATCCCAGGCCCTAGTAGCATCTGTGATTGAGAAGCATATGCAAGATGCTCTCCAAAGTCACACAGTCAAGGACAGGAACAAAGCCCAAGGAGAGCGTGACCAGCAGGTAAGCACCGTCCTAGCGTGGTGGGGGGGACAGTGACCTGATGGGTGTCTCTACTACTACATGTCCCCCAATAAGCATTTCCATTGAACCCAAACTTTCAAAGTCTTGGTAATGCCTATACTTTTAATCAGGCAGCTACACAGTAAAGCTACAAAATCAGAAGTGGGAATTAGAGATAGAATCTCATGCCAACAAAAATCCAGAGTCAAGTAATTAAAAATAACAACTAAAAATAAACAAATTTAATTAAAAAATAAGCCGAGTCTAGTTTTTTACTTTATCATTTGAGTCCCCATCTGATTACCAGCAGATAACCTGTACGCATTCAGGAATGTGCTTAGAAAGAAGCTAGCTAATCCTTCATTAGCTCAGGGCTGGGATGCCAGAGAGGATTGCGATGTTTCAACCCGTCTGCACTCAGCTTTAGGGGTGTAAAAGCAGTGTGACCCAAGATTTGCATTCCAAATTTTAAGGAACAGCAGTGTTCCAGGGTCTGATGTGATGATCCGTCTACTGAAGTTCTTCCACTGCACAGGAAGATGAGAAGCACTGTCAGACAGCTACATAATTTGTCCTTAGTGTTACAGACAGGACATGAAGAAATGAATCCATCCATTCAACGAATGTTTGTGAAGTCCAGTCTGAGGCCAAGGAATTATGTTAAACCCTTAGGGAAAATAAGTCAGCCAGACATAGTCTCTGCCCTCATGGGCATTCAATAACATTTTAAGACAGTTTAAGAATACAGAAAGGAAAGCTGACAGCAGACAATGGGGTATTTCTGTTTTCCATGACAGGCTAAATACTGGTGTGGCTCTTGTATCCATTACCTGTCCTGCCCCAAACAACTGATACAATAAAGCAAGACAACAGAACAGACCAGCATAGCCCGAAGGAGGAACAGAAGCAGTCTCTAAAGGCCCAACCCACTTCTGTAATGGGTTTCTGCAGTTACTACTGAAGCCTGTCCTCAAAAATAGTCCTCCTCTTTAGAAAAACTGCCAATATTCCACATAACTTACTTCAGAAATTCTCACTTGTCCATCAGTGAATTCAACAGATAATGTAGTATTCAAAACCACTCTAACATACAAAAGAACAATTTCAAATCATCTAAAAAACACTCAGTAACTGCACTGAAACTCTTAGAAGTATTCAAGAAATTACTAATTCCTAAAGTATACAGAAAAGGCTGATGAAAAACGTTATTATAGTTCTCAAAAAATTCTGTCTACAGTAAAAATAATGTCTTCAATGGCTGCTAAAATAATTACATAAAAACAAACAAAACAGAACAAAAAAAATTACATAAAAGATTGCCTGGGGACTTTATAATGGATAGATCATGCTGATACTGAGTGCACTGATAAGCCATCATGTCATTAAAAGTTTGCTAACCAGATATTATGTACTTCCTGACGTGATGCAGTAGGAGACACACAGCTTTGTTTATAATACATTCTCACTACAAAAATTAGCTCAAATCTAATCAGGATTCTAGATCCAACCACCAGTTCACAGAAAATAAGGGATAAATAATGCATATTAAATGATAGCCCCAAAATGCAATTAGGTAAGTTCAGATTGTAGGAAACTGTGAAAGATATAATCCTCTTTCCTCAACAAATGGCATAGAGGGAAAAAGGACAGGGACTGTTATACAAGAGATTTAAGATTCATGAACCAAGGAAAATGCACACACTTTGAATTTTCACTCAAATAATTTAAACTTAAAATTTAAGTGAGCTGAGGAAAACTGAACATGGACTGGATAACAGATAGAAGAAAGTAATTAATATTAATTTGGTTGGATGAAATAATGTCATTATAATGTGTAAAATCCTATCTGACAGAAAAACATTGAAATATTTATGAATGAAATGATAAAATGACCAGAATTTAAAAATGCTTCAGTTCAAAAAAGTGGGAAGGAATACTATAAGAATGACAGAATGGTCGGGATTTAACTCAGGGGTTCTGCCGCCTGCCTCGCAAGTGCAAGGACCCCAGCTCGATCCCCGGTACCAAAAAAGAATGACAGAATGGTGACAAGCAGAGTTGTGTGTTGGTTACAAAATTTTCTTTCTACTTGTATGTTTGAAAACTTCTACAATAAAAATTGGAAAGATTATTTTTGTTTTTGTTTTTGGTACCAGGGACTGAACTCAGGACCTTGCATTTGCGAGGCAGGTGGCGGAACCACTGAACTAAATCCCCGGCCCTGGAAAGATTATTTTTAAAGCTCACCACATGACTTAATGGTAATGAATGCCCATAACCATTAAATACAAAACAGGGATCCTCCAATCAGCAAATGGACCTTTGTACTTTGGCAAGCATTGTTCTCAGTATAATACTGACCTCTACTTTGTTTTGTTTTTTTTTTTGAAAAAGATTTTTTATTCAGTATTTAAGTAAGATTAAAACCTACAAGATTTTGCTTGCAGCTGATGAACAAAAAGAAAAGTTAAACATAAGTTTTTATCTGATTGGCTAGTTTAAAATGCTCTAGGAGTCAAATTACTCAGAGACATACCAATTATTTTGTGTGGGCTTAAGAGTCTTGGAGAAAGGAGTAGTCTAAACAAAACAGGTCATCTGAGAGCACAGGGCTAAAGGGTATATAAAATACTGAAGAAGCAGCTGATAGAGTGAGGCTGTGGCAGACCTTTTGATTCTTTTAGGCATCTAGCAATTGTTATTGTATGCAAGAACCTAGCAGCCAGTTAGTTATTTGATGTTTTGACTTTTTTGAGTTAAACACTTGAACCCATACCCACTAAGCAGGAAAATAGATACTTTATAGATCAGTTGGAAAATATAAAGCAGACCCACTTCTCCAGTAGAGTAAGAGAAACAATAATTATTGTACATATTGTACTTGTTGCATTATGTCTGCTGAGTAGAATTTCCATTCCAAGAGTTGTTTTCATCTTCACCATCATCTCGAGTCCTCAATCTATATATCCTCCTTTCCTTTTTAAAATCTTCCTCTCATTTTTCCAGCACTCTTTTTCTGACTAGTTCCCTTTTTTCTGATTTGCTAGATGATGTAGGGTTTGAAGGTTCTGGTGATGGTGTTCTCACTGAAGTCTGTGCAGAAGGAGGATTACTAAATAATAAGTTGCTAATCAATCTCCAGATGGCAAGAAATGGATAAAGTATTGTCCCCAACAATGTCCAAATGTCTCCACTGGAAGAATGTACAATGGATGTAGCTGGTCTTCCGGCTGGTAGCAGCACTACTGAAGCACTTGGGGCAAGTTCCAAATCTAGTAATTTCTTTTTATAATCTTCTTTGGTAAATTCCCTCCTGGGAAACATGGTTGCTAATGAAAAATTACCATAAGGGTTGCCAACAGTCTGTGTTGCAAACTGCCTTGCTTCTTCTAGAAGAGCCTGACCTCTACTTTGAAATTCAGTCTGCATGTGGCTATTTTAAGCCCTTATTCTCAGGGCCAGATTCTGCCCACTTAGATTTAGGGTAAGAGATGCCAGCATTTGAGCGTTGCAAAATTCTGGCATCTCCGCTAGCCTAGGGCATCCTTCAAGGACCTGCCTGCATGGCTGCTGACTATCTTCTCTTCTACAGACTACATCACAAATCAGACAGCAACAGCTGTCCGTGAAATACTACATTAGATCAGAGCTCTAAAAACTAGAATTAACCTAACAAAAAGGAGAAAGGATCAATAAACTATTGAAGATATAGATTTAAATTGAAAAGTCCTGAGGTAATAGAAGAAAAATATCCCAAATCGGGCAAAAAAAATCCGAAGTAAGAAATGTTGGAAAATTACCAAAATTATTATTTGACATATAATTATAAAAGCACGCTATATAGCATCTACCATTTTTAAAAAAAAATACGGACTGATTCACACATTTGTATGTAAGCCTTGCATTGGGCCTGTGCTAATCTCTGTATTGTTCCAATTTTAGTATATATGTTGTCAAAGTGAGCATCTAATGTTTTAAAATGATGCCTAGCGTAGTAAGTATTCCTTAAAAAGAAACACAAAATTATTACTTTGATATCATAAGCCTACATTACATTGTACAAATCATTGTCTTCGATGATACTGGCATAAAAAGTTTCTGAAATTTTAGAATGGAAGCCAATGAAAAACATGATTCACTATATAAAATTCCTATCTAATATCTTTGCTTACCTAGACTTACTATTTAAAGTATCAATAGAATTTTAGAATTAAAGTCTTTGAATTCAATTCCTTCATCCTGAACACAGAGAAGTTAAGGCAGAAAGGGAGAAAACCTAAAGTAAGACCAAAGGTGCAAGGTAGTAAAACATCATCAGTTTCAGAAAACTGTTAATACTTTAACCCAAACCCTGTTCCAAACAATAGCTCAATATCTAAATCTACTAGATTATTAGTCAAATCTAAAAACTATACAATAGTTAGCCTTTTAAATTTACATAAAATATACCAATGATCTTACCAGCATGGTGCTCTGACAATAGGCATGTGTGTAGATTTTTCTATGATTTGCAAGAGGAAATGTAAAATATATCTTATCAGATTCCTATAAAAGAAAAACATTCAATATAGCCATGAGAGTGGGCAATTTCACCATCAAAAATACAGATAAAGCAAATGAATAATTATTTATCATTCTTGGTGTGGTCAGACACCAAGACAAGGAGTTAAGAGGAAGTATAAAGTCTGTAGTCCTGAACTTTTCCTACAAGTCTCAACATGAACACTTTTCTTCCTTGGTGATTTTTGGTGCTTTAGTTATGATAAAATAGACTTAGCTCTGCCTACTGAAAAGGCCTAGAATTGCCTACCTAGTATCCATAAGCATCTGTAGTGCCAGATTATGGCCCTGAGATACATTTCCCAAAATAAAGAAATAGTTCCTTAAAGAAATAGCTGGTAATCCCAGCACTCAGGAGGCTGAGGCAGGAAGATCACTGAATTCAAGGCCAGCCTCGGCTACCATAGTGAGTTCAAGGCCAGCCTGAACTACATAATGAGACCCTGTCACAAAAAACCAAAAAACCAAAACCAAACAGCGGGTTCAGGCTCTGGGAGAGGAGATACACAAAACAAGCTAAAATACCTTGTCATACTGGACAGTGAGGAAACTATTAAAGAGCTCTATCAGAAGACTAAGGAGTCAAAGTTAAAATGGTTTCTACTGGTCAAGTGGGGAACAATTTTAGTATCAGTGGAATGAAACACAAATATATTAAATTCATGAATTCATAACCATACTGAGGAGGGGGTGTCTAATGGTCACGGATGGAGGATACCAACAAGCCAACTCATTACTCTGAACCAGTAGAGAGAAGGCAAGAACCAAAGATTTGAGCAATTATCATTTTCTTCCTTTATAATTTTTTCCAGTTTTGACAAACTTAGATGTGGCAGTTTTTCTACATAGTAGCCCAATTAATAAATGAAGTATCCTCCCAAATGATTTAATGACTCTAGGAGTTCCTCATCAACAGCTGTTAATATCACAAGAGTTTAGCAAAAGCAAGAACAAAAGAAAAACCTGAATCTTAGCAAGCATCTGGATCCAACCTGCTAAGCCAGAATAAAAGTTGGTAAAGGATAAGCTGAATGACCACAGTAATTCAATCAGCAAAACCAAGACAACGGGAAACTATCACATAGAGAGATGGCCTACTCTTGTCAACAAATAAATGTCAAGAAAAGACAAGAATAGAGAAAGTATTAAAGATTAAAGAGGACTAAGACATAACCAATGACCACGTAGGCCTTATTTAGATCTTGATTTAAATCTACACGGTGAAAAATTTATGATACAACTGGAAAACTGAATATTGACTACATATTTATTATTAAGGAATTATTGTGAAAAAATAGTTTATCACTATCTCTTTATGAAAAGCCTTTAACTTTTACAAATAAACATTAAAATATTTTTGAAAAAAGAATTCTTTGGAGGAATACTTACATTGTAAGCCACATAGGTCCATCTGGACACTTTTACTGGAACCCACATAGATGTCCCTTGAAGTGAAGGAAATTATTTACTTGCCTTTTTAATATTAAATACTTTGTTTTTGAATCCTGGTGAAATACTTCCTGATCCTAATGGAGAAGTGGTTTCTGAACACTCACTAGTTTTAGAGACAAATCCAGGAAAACATTCTCTCTGTGCTGATCAGCACCTGGCACTCACACACATACGAAAGCGCTACAGATGTGCAGACGTCTTTAAGGGAGCATCCACAGGTGGAAATAAGTATATTTCCCAACACGACATCTCATTAAGTAAAGTGTAACTGGTCTTAGTATATTTAACAGCAAAATGTACAAGGAAAAGATATGCTGGTAATTCAAAGACTCAAGAATAAATGATGCTGAGGAACTGCGAGGTACCAAGACAACTATAGCTCTTATTTACGCAACTGTCAGGAGACTGCATGTATAACACTGCGCTCGTTTATGGGGCCAGACTGCAATTTGGCGGTAGAGCGCTCACCCAGCATGTGCGAGCCCTGAGTTCAGTGCCCAGCTCTGCATACAAATGAGCATGCAGAAACACCTTCTCTATTTGTCTGCTATTTCAACACAAATTTTATGAGTATCCCACAACTTGCTTTTCTACTCTTAGCATTCCAAACCAAGAGCCTCATAGTAGGGAAATTAATACAATGTCAGGATTATAAAACTTGCAGTACCACAGTTTCAAAGACTTTTGTCTGCTAATAACAGATTTCCTTAAAAATAATAACTAAAAGTTCTACTTAAAAATGTTAATGTCACCAACCTGTTAGGTCAGAAATTATTGCTGGATTTTCCTCAAAATGTTTTGCTGGGTGTCTTATGAAGTGGTGATTCAAAACGGACAATTTCTTCTTGCGATTTTGAGTTATCTGTAAAGAACATCGATATACTCTGTATCATTTCATCACAGGATGATTCAATGAAACACTGTTTCAAGTCATGCCAGCAGGCAGTATCTGTTTCTCTAAAGCTGGCACCACTCAAGGCCTTTACCCTACTCTTAATTTATTGATCAGCACAAGACCTATAAAAGACAACCTTTTTATCTGCATTTTAAAGATGAAGAAACTAATACATAGGAAAATTAATGACTTATCCAAAAATTATGCAACTATTAAGAATCTGTGCAGGGATTCAACTCAGGTATCTGCCTCTCCAGTCACTGTTAATCATTATGCACCATTTCTTCCCAAGTAAGTTAACAGAGCATTATAAAGATGTAGAAACTTAGAAAAGAACTCATCTAGTGCTTCCAGCACACTAGCTTCCATACTCAGAGCAGTGCCAATGCCAAACAATCACTGGTAACTAGAGAAAAATACAAATTGACAACCATCCTTTCTTGGAAACTACCCCTTTCATTATATACTAGTATTAGGGTTTTTTTTCCTCATCTCATGAATTACTGGAAAAATATGATTTATTAAATTTAGTTTCAATGCAATTTTTAAAAGAATATACCTATGTGTTTGAAGTACTTCTATTCTTCACTGATTGGAATAAGGTCTCGCTGCAAGCTACCATATGTAAGTTTGTGTACAACCTGATCTTGCTATTTTATAATTGATTCTCTTACTACAGTATATCTAGTAACATTCTCTCAGAGACTTAAAACTTTTGTCACAGTTAAATTGCACAATTAAAATGTCAATACCCAAAAAGTGTTTGCATTGAATGACAATTCATAGTGTTAATTCTATGAAGTTTTTACTTCAATAAATATACTAAAGATGAAATCTTCCGGCTTATAATTTGGTACAACACAATATGATATGGGTATTTACAAGAATGCTACGTGTCTAGAATCCTAATAGTAGTTATTCAGCTTTCTGAAGAATAAAGGAAAAAAATGTCTGTAGTGGGTGCTGTGATCTTCATGTGTCCTGCTAATAGAACAATGTGGAAAATCATGAGTGTGAAGAGTTTATACTGTGAAATCTCATGACAGAAAAGGCTCAACTTGTAGAAGTACACAATTTAAGTCCTGGTGAGCTTGGGCTATTCAATGAATGCACATATTTTGATCTAATCAGAAAGGTAAAAACACTTTTAAACACATGGCTCAAAAATATCAAGTAAGGGCCGGGGATTTAGCTCAGTGGTTTCGCTGCCTGCTGCGCAAGCGCAAGGACCCCAGTTCGATCCCCGGTACCAAAAAAACAAACAAACAAAAAAATCAAGTAAGATAGATCATGTTTACAATACTAAAAAATATATATATATAAAATAGCTCAAATAGTAAGTATTTATTTTAAGTAGAAAAAAGCTAGATGTACATCAAACTTAAACAGTGAAGAGACAATTGGGAAAACTTGAAAATATCCATTCACTTTCATTACATTTATGAGTTATTAACAGCAATCAAATTATAAAAATGTAATTTCCATCCTCGAACTAATTAAACATTGAAAAAAGTATAGGCTTCTATTTTCTTTCTTTTTTTTTTTTTTTTGGTACTGGGGATCGAACTTGGGTTCTTGCACTTGCGCAGCAGGCGGCGAAACCACTGAGCTACATCTCCGGCCCTAAAGCTTCTATTTTAATCAAAGAAAAAAATGCATTAAATCTGTCATTGCTATAATAAAAGCTTTCATTGTGCTGCAATAACTTTTAGTTTAAAAATACATACTTGTTTAGTATCAGCATCAATAAGATCAAAGAATGCCCGGATCGTAGTCAACTGCAATTGTTTACACCTAAAGAATGAAGTAAGCGTTACGCATGAAACTTTCTCAAAACGTACTTTTGATCCAAACATGCAAGCTTCTACATGTAATGAAATATCTGAGTTTCTTTTAATGCTATAAACTAAGAAGTTATTTAAATGCGAAATTATTCTCATTAAGCATTTGTCTTAAGGTCGAAACCTATAAAAGTAAAGGAAACGAACCCCTTCTGAATGAGTCTCAGTGCACTGTGCCGGCCCTTCTGTGTCCCCAAATCTCCTCGCCCAGCCTGGCTCCTACCTACACACCCCTCCCCGTCCACTTCACAGTGCGCACAGTGGCCACAGGAAGCGCACAACAGATCTTAGGTAAAAAAATACCGAGACAGACACTCAGGTCTGCCTTTCCTGATGCATATTTAATCTCTTACTTTAAAAAAGTTTATATTAAAAGTAAATCCAATTCCTGTGCGGTTCTGTACTCCTCCCTAGGGCAGTCACTGCTGTATTACTCAATGTGCATATGGCCATTGCTTAGGGCTCAGAGCCCCACCACAGATACTCTTGGCTCTGTCTAACTCTGACAAACCCTAAGACTTCGGTATCTGAGGCTAGCTGCATCTGAGACAGATGTTCCTGCTTCACTGAGAGACGATGTTATAGACTGTCAAAAACATGTTGGTCAAGAACCAACCTTAGAGTGCTAAGCCCCTAAGTAAGCCTTTCACACAGACTTGCTTATTCATGAGTAAAGTACTAAGAAAGCTAGCAAACCGATTAATGCACTGATGAGAAAACAGGAGCCTGAGAAATCACCAAGATAAGTTACACTGCTGGGCGTGGTGGTGCATGATATAATCCCAGCACTCGGGAGGCTGAGGCAAGAGGATTGCCATGAGTTCGAGGTCAGCCTAAACTACCTTGAGAACCTGTCTCAAAAAAAAAAAAAAAGTTACACTAACTTACCACACAATGGAGAGATGGTCTGTTGAAACCCACGTCTTAGGCACTGCTGAACTCTAAAAGGAAAGAAAAAAAAAATCAAACTTAATAAAAGCATATTATTCTCTGAAAGGTTTGAAATTCTTTTAAGCTAACATTTAGAAACAGATAACACTGTTTTCATTATGATATTCATGTAGTTATTTTGAATGATAAACTCTTCTAAAAGGCAAACTAGATTTTAAGATATTCCTGCATAAAATAATGTAACTCTCTAAGTATCATTACTGGTTATTCAGGCTTAAACTACCCTTTACAAATTACTAGAACATGTAGGACTCTGCCTTGAAGTTTTAATTTAATGTCTAACTCTGGTACTTCTGGCTTCGAGATGGATGTTCCTGGTTCTTTGTGAGATGGTGGTAGCAACTGTGAAGGGAATGTTGGTCAAACTGTGTCAGGAAACAAGTTTGGAGTGCTAAGACCTAAGTTTATTTTTCTCCCATCGATTTCTTTTTTTGTTTTTGATTTTTTGGGTTTTTTGGTACCAGGGATCGAACTCAGGACCTTGAGCTTGCGAGGCAGGTGCAGTGTCACTGAGCTAAATCCCCGGCACTCACAGATTTTTTTATTTGAGAATAAAGAGCTATGGAAGCTAACAAAGTGCTGACAAAGCTAATGTTTAACTTTTGAATTATTTTAATACAAGACTGAGTTTAAGATTCTTTAATAAATCATAGTTTAGGTGATAAGTTAAAATATTTCAGTAATTTTGGTCTTGACTAAACTGTTCTTTGATAGATTTTGAGTTCTGACTTCTTAGGAATGTTTCTGGCAAGCAAACATTTTAAAATATTTTTTAAAGTTAAAATATATCTGATTGCACTCTAAGAACTACCTCATCAGATTCTCATTATTAGGGTCCAGGCTTCACTTATTTTGCAAAATTTCTCTAGATGGTTAGGCTGTGTAAGGGCAAAAGGCTCCTAAAAATGTGACTGCTGGCAGAAAGAAGGCTGCTCAGCAATGGCACAGCACCCTACAGAAGCAGAGAACCTCAAGCAGGTGGCGACCTCACTGGGAATTCACCAGACCCACAGAAGGGCTCATCAAGTGAACAGAATTTCATTTTTCATGGCAGCTCCTTTTGCACCGAAAACACAAGGAGCTGCCATCTCGGAACTGACAAAACAAAATGAAACAGAAGCCTGCCAACATAGATGCAGCTGCATTTATGGAGGCATAAACGGCTTCTTTAATAAATGAAGCATACATAGCTACAAAGTAGGTAGGTGTGACTTCTAAGGGTTCACTGTCACGCTTGTACTCGGTAAATAATGAGTTTGGGGCACCATGCTGGGAAGTAGGAGGAATGGCATAATTGTTGAATTTATAAGCACCGATATATTTGGGAATTATTACTGATAGCTTATTGAAAAATTAGACAAGCAGAACTCACTGGGGTTCTAAGATTACATTAGAGGCTGAGAAGACAGCACTGACCACTACCAGGAAAATAAAACTGATGTCCTTTCCAGAGCTGAAATAGTAAAAAAAAGACAAGTGAAAAAAGTAGCTTTCATGGCGTTGCAATGAAAGCTGATAAATGCTATAGAAGCCACTGCTCTTTTCTGGCACAGCTGGGACGACTTCCTCTTGCGGCCTCTCCGGCTGCTTTACCATGTGTAATGGCATGAGCTGGGTGGGAGGATGCCCACAGGTTAGCCTCCCGACTAGTGCAGACGCGTTCTCCATCCTACATGATTCTTCCTGGCCCCAACACGTAAATGCCATTTAACTATTCTTGCTTGAAAAACGTATTAAAATATTATTACTTCTTAATTTTTTAGAAAATGAACATATACGCAGATATGTGAGAATGTATACTACTGTACTGGGGGGTAAATATTGTGTAAATCAGGTTATACAACTGCTGTTTTCAGAAAAATTCTGTAAGTAAGATATTTTTGCCAAAGTCAGAAATACAAGCTGCCTTAAAAGCAACAGATTCTCAAATGACCAAAGTTATTTAAAAGATAAATCTTAGGGTGTGGTATGAATACAGGCCAAGTCTAGGAAATAAGTTATGTTAGTATTAATATGACTAAACTGCTTATGTTTACTGAAGAGCTGACATTTAGCTTTTTAAGGATGTAAAGCAAATAACTGCCAAAAACATTCAATACCAAATGACACTGAGTCATATCACCAAAAAAGAGGTCTGAGAGATTCAACAATTTCATACCAAAGCTGTCCTGCCACATTTCAATTCTCCAATCAGAGGAATAAATAATAATGATGAGTAATAGCAAAATAACATGGTAGTATTGCTCTGAGTGTGGCAAGCATTCATTACACAATACCTATTTGGTGCATGGAGAACAATCTAAGGCAGGGGACAGATCAGATGAACAAAGAAGTATCTATGAAGAGGAACAACTAGGAAAGAGTGACTCTCTACATCTGTCTCCTCAAAGCAACAGGAACAGGAAGACCACATTCTATGGATTTTCTCTTTGGAAATAAATTAAAATATTTAGATGATGTATACATGGAGTTATGACATTAATATCTTAACATGTCCCCACTGGCTTGAACTACGGGTGGTACATGCATGACCATCCTATGCATGACTGTACTACTTGTACCAACAGTCGTGGATGTACCACTAGTGGTTCAAGCTGCCTGGGAGCAAGACATATGAATTCCAGCCCTGTCATGAACATGTTAACTGAAGACTTCAAGGCTGAATATATAAGAAAGAAGTTCTACAAGGAAACTTGAGATCACTTTACACAGGCCATCTGCATCAGGCAAAGACCAAATTAGTCAATGGCCTAGCAGGGAAGGATAATTAGCAAACTAGTCAGAGTTCTATTTATATTATCAAAGCTAATAATCCCTTTATTAAAAACAGGTAAATCTTCGTTTGGGGTTATGTGGTATGTTTGACATTCACCTAATACTGTGCATAGTATGACACTCAGATATAACTAGGTTCCCCTAAACTTCAGTCCACATTTTCTTATAGTTACAACTCTAATGTAGGCCCAAGTGTTATTTTGGACATAAATAAGTCCCACTCACGAGGTATATATCTAAGATCCTTTTAGCTTTCTATGGGCATACTCATCCATGCCTCTGCCTGCCTAATGGACTCAGTTTCATTTATTCATGTTCTCTCCCTGTCACACACCTGCTGCAAGCCTATACCAACTCAGCCGTCACTTCCAAGTAGCTATATTTTGTTTCTCTTTCATGCTCCATTATGTCGATTATATCACTATTTCAATAGAATCTTAAAAAAATTACCACAACAGATAAGGCACTGGTATGATGGCTTAATTTTGGTAGAAAAGTTAGTCCTGAACGAACTTGGTAATCCCGGAATCCTCCAGCTACAGAAAGTGTGGTGAAATTTATGTGTTGAGCATTTAGAATCCAATAGTTGTTTACAGTCATATAAAAATCTGGTAAGAAAAAAAGAGAGGCATTGAAAATAGCAGTCATTCCCTTCAACAATACCTACAAGCCAAATTTTAACTGCACTTTTCTTTAAGATATCTGGTTATAAATAGTGTTAGTTACATTTCTCTATTTTGAGAAAAATCAGTATCTTTATAGGTATTCCCACTTGCCCAATAAATAAGAGTACAAAGACTAAGTTACTACAGGCATCAATAAAGAAAAAAAAACCCTCTACCTTACTGGCTGTCACATGCCCATATGCAAACATGATCTTTCATTCCATAAGGACTTTTCAAGAGCCACATAGAGTAACAACTTTTCTTTAGAAAGAAAACTCTAAAATTCTAAGAGTTCACTACGCTAAAGAGTTGTAGGCATTTGTGGTGTTGGCTTCGTGATATATGCATATGTTCACCCCTCTCTACCATGGTAGTGTCCCTATTTACAAGAGTTTAGCAACTTTACTGTGGCCAACCATCCCCACATTTAGCACCATTTAAAAAGTTCTTATAGTTTATCAGGACAGCACCATTGATGTTATTTTCAGGATTATGTTGCTATGGAAAAATCTCAGGGTTAGGAGTCTACACAAAAAGGTAACAAGCAGCTCAAAAGGAAGAATCTGCAGACAGTGACTGGCTTTGTCTCCAGGAGGTAAGAACATTTTAGTGTCAAGGATTACCAAATTAAGACCAGGGCAGAGGAGTTTTCATTTCTTTTTCTGATCATCAAAAGTTAATGGATTTTTATCCTGGCATTTGATCCCACTCAAACATTTGGTATAGGAAGCTCTCTGTACTACACATCCCAGCAGTATTTACTTTGTCACCAGGCTAAGCCTGAACATCTGGAGGACCTGGGATTAAGTACCAATGGGGCACACGTGCCCTACATCTAAATATTTAAAAGTCCAAAGTCCAGTGGACACACTATTAAATTAGTGCATTTCTATTTCTACCAAGACAAATAAGCTTGGAGGCCAGGCTCAGATCGAGAATTTCCAGACACGTCTGACCCAGCCCTGGATCGCAGCAGCACAGGAATGCGGGTGTCTGACCACTGCTGTCTTCTCTCCCTTCCCATCCCAAGCTCGTGCTGCATGGCAAGGGCCTGTGTGCAAGTGCACGTGCTGCATGTGCGTCCTGCTTCAAACTGAGAACTATGCCTTTCTGCCCCCAGGAGAACAAAGCCAGGTAAAAGGCCTCTGAGCCCTGGGAGAGGACGTGGGGCACACAGGCAAGGAACATGCGAAGGCCTGGCTCCCAGGACCGTGTGTGGTCTGAAGTGGAGGCACAGCTAGGGCTGGGTGCTGAGCCTGCACACTGCTTCCCGCTGAGGAAGGGTGAGGCCTGAGGCAGCTACACTTTACCCTCCAGTATACACAGAGAATCCGCTTCTGAAATCACAGGATCTGTCTCTCGGAAACTGAAAATTGGTTGAATTAATTCTGTTTAAGTTCTACTTCTGACTTAATGCAATTAAAATCTACAGACTAGACAGAAGAGAGGCTTACTAATTACAAGGCTCCCTGGCCCTAAGACTCACTTTCAGCCTGAGCCTGCTGGAAAGACCACTGCCACCCTTCAGAACTCTCTCTGCTGAGAGCTCACGCCTATACAGTATTTCCGAGTCTCGAGCCACCCTAACCGGCCCATCTGCACACACCATTAAACATGCAGCGATATAAAGCTCCTCAACTCTGGTAACAATGAATGAGATTATTCGGCCTTTGATCTTCTCCTTCTTCTCCTCCTCCTTTTTTTTTTTGATTTTGTGAGACAAGGTCTTGATATGTAGTCCAGGCTGGCCTTGAAATCACAGTGATCCTCCTGCCTCTGCTTCCTGAATCCTGGGATTTCAGGCATGTGCCACCATGGCCAGCTCCTTTGATTTTTTTTTTTTTTTGGTACTGGGGATTGAACTCGGGCCTTGCGCTTGCGCAGCAGGTGACGAAACCACTGAGCTAAATCCCCAGCCCCACTTTAATTTTTTTTAAACCTATTGTCATTTATGACTTACAAGCAGCAAAAAAGATTTAAATAATTATAATAGCAAAATTAAAAGTTTTGTTATTAAATATTCCTCCAGGTAAAGTTTTTCAAGAAGTCAAACTTTCCAATAAGTATACACCAAATACTTCCAGCAAAAAAATTATTCTTTGTCGATGTTATAATGTTAAGATGGTCACTTTAGAAAGTTAATTTGGTTGGAGTCACTAGGGTATATTTATTACTTAACTATGAACAAAATTTTCTAAAATTACTACAATGCAACTTTTAATAGGTAAGAAGCTATATAGAGCCTGTTGTAGCACATGCCTGTAATCCCAGCATTTGGAGGCTGAGGCAGGAGGATGGTTCCAGGTTCAAGGCCAGCCTGGGCTACACAGTGAGAGATCCTCTCAAAAACCAAAAAAAAAAAAAAAGGGAGCGAGAGAGAGCTATATAAATTTACTGACAAGGAAGACAATTCTTTCTAAAGATTTCCTTTAACTCCTATAACATTCCTATAACAGTAAAGATAAAGGTTTAACACAAACAACTTCGTGTTGTTTGTGTTGTTGTTGTAGATGATAGGCCTCTCATTCTTATTCTGTGACATTATCCCTGTTTGGTAATACCACAAACTCCTACAGCTGGAGGCAAACGTCCTGTGCCCTGGCATTAGCCAGCCTTATGTCCTGTCACAGTATTTACCTCTGCTAAGAGGCCATATGTATGCATCGTGCACAGCTAAGAGCACAGACCCAGCTGCAATATGTCACGGTCAAGCACTGGTTGTACTGCTTTCTGGCTAAATGACTTTGAGCAAGAACTTTATTAAATCGGGGCAGAGGGACGTGCCTATAATCGCAGCTACTCAGAAGCTGAGACAAGAGGATCACAAGTTTGAGGCCAACTTGGGCACCTTCGTGAGGCCCTATTTTAAACAAAGAAAACCTTTACCGTGACCTTTTTTTTAACCAAAGGTACCTACCTCAGAAGACTGCAGGATGAACAAAGTCTGTGACACATCAGGTAAAGTCCTTAGTGCAATACCCAAAATACAGTTCTTACTATAGTTCCTACAATAAGGATCAGCAACTCTAGCAGTGTACCTATGTATTTAAAAACAAAGCATTGCTATTATTTTAATGAAATATAAGCTTATCTTCAATAGGGTATTGAATAGTTACCAAAGCACAGAAGTGAATACACATCTCAAGAGAAAAAGAACTGTGCTGTAGAATAACCAAACTGAAGCCCTGGTTCCTACGTCAGCCTTGTTCGGACCACTTGGAAAGAGAAAGCTGACAGTATTTTCAGTTGTGAGCCTAAGGTGGAAGACTTGTGAGACGGTCGTAACTAGAGGTGCTGAGGTACAACTGAGCGGCCTCACATGCAGCTAAACCTGGGGCGCGCTCGAAGGAAAGAGCTGCGGGACTGGCCTCCTTCATCCTGCACGACCCGGAGGCCAGCCAGTGCTCAGGGAGAGTGCTCACCTGTAATGAAACGGTCCAGCGGCATCACAGGAGCAACGTGAGGTGTGGCTTGTGTGATGAGAAGGTTGATCAGCTCTTGTTTAAAGTTCTTCAGCGTAAGCAATGCTCTTGCAACCAGCCCACCCATAGAATGACCAATTATTGCCACACTTTTGGGAGCAAATTCTTGACCCTATTGAAAAAAATCACCACAGCATAATTAAGACTTAGTATCATAATAAAAATACTAAATATTCCCCTTTGCAAATGAGCAATTTAATAGAAAAATTAAACTATCCCTATAACCTTCCATCATAAGATACAGAAACACATTTAGTTTAGTTTTAACTGACAAACTAAAACTTGGCTCAACATACTATTTTGCGTTCTGCCACTTTTAACAGCTTGGTTTTCTGAACAAAATCCAAATACTTGTTTAGCAAATCACGTTTGTACCATTTGTTAAGTTGCATGTAACTGAGGTATAGGTCTATACCAGAATTATTAGATTTTACAAGATAGTAGAATCAGATCATTGGTATAAACCTGAAAATATCATAAAAGATGCCAAGAAATTATAGTTGCCATAGCAATATACTATCTTGTCATGTTGGTATCTCCTATAGCATTGAATTTTGGGTTCAAAAATAAACCAGTAGGCTGGGGATTTAGCTCAGTGTTTCCGCTGCCTGCCTCGAAAGCACAAGATCCTGAGTTCAATCCCTGGTACCAAACATAATAAATAAACCATCATTTCAAACACTTATTTACTGACTATAAAAAGTTTTAAATTGATATTGCTTTTCAAAAAGACTTTTGTTTTGGGCCGGGGATTTACCTCAGTGGTTCCACTGCCTGCCTCGCAAGCACAAGGACCTGAGTTCGATCCCGGTAACAACAACAACAAAAAAATTTTGTTTCCACCGCTATCCTCAGTCCCACTAGCAGGCTTCAGCCCGTCACTCCCACATGGACTCCCTTTGGCCTTCTCTCTGTCCCTTGTGCAGAAAGGGATGAGCACAGTAGGGCCAGGCCTGCTGTCCTTAGGGTAGACTACACCACACTGGGTCCATTCCCTGAGTGGTCAGAGCGCTGCTAAAGCTCACAGGCACCTGTCTGCTCAGGTAGCAAGACTCAGGAGAGCCTCGCCGACCCCAGACAAGGGCAGTGTGAGATCAGCCGCCAGTGAAACTCTTGGGTCTCTAGTGCGCCTCCCTGGAGGCAGCATTTCACAGATGTCACAAAGGGCTCGTGCAGGAATTAAATGCAAAGTGTCATCGCTCTGTGGGAGAACTTTTACAAGGTTACACCTGGCTCCCTCCAAATTTCATCCCATTCACCATTTCCCTTTGCTGGTTTTGCTTTGTATTCTTTTGCCACAATAAATCATAACCCTAATACAATTCTATGCTGAATGCGGTGGCTCTTACCTAGTCAATCATCAAACCTGCTTGGGATTCCCACACAGTTGGTCTGAGGAAAGCCAAATGTTATATCCGTGCTCTGAAACCTATCCTCCTTGGCCTTCTCAACTACAAAACAGCAGCAGTTCTTCCCATTCTCTTGCATTAGTTTTTCCTTCTACACTGGATCACTCTCACTCACCTATAAATATATTGTGTTCTTCCTTAAAAATAAAAGCAACTCTGTCTCTCTCTCTCTCTCTCTCTCTCTCTCTCCCTCTTTTGTTTTTTTCTGACAGAGTCTCACTATGTAGCCCAGGTAGGCCTTGAACTCACTGCGATCCTCTGGCCCTGCCTCTTGAAAGCTGAGACTACAGACACACGCCACCATGCCCAGCTCAAAGCAACTGGTCATTAACTCTCACTTTCCCCTTAGTGATCACACTTTTCTCTACATGTCTCCACAGCAAAATTCCTCAGAAACCATGATCTATACAGTACTTGCTGTCCCCATCGTGTCAACTTCCACATACCCTTTAACCCATTCTCATCAGCCACTCACCCCTAGGCGCCACAAAACTGCTCCTGCTGAGTCCTCAGGAACCTCCCATCAGTTCTTTTTTTTTTTGGTACTCGGGATCGAATTCAGGACCTTGTGCTTGGGTAGCAGGTGGTGAAACCACTGAGCTAAATCCCCGGCCCATCCCATTGGTTCTTAACCCTCACCCTGCTTGGCCTAGCAGCAGCACTGACACAGAGCAGCTCAGTCCCTCCTCTCTGAGACACCTTGCTTTTGTTGCCTGATGGCAGAGTCCTGCTTTTCCTCCGACCTAGCTGGGAGCTCCGTTCCACGTCTGCTTCTGTGCTCTTCTCATCTCTCTTCAGCTCTTGCAGTGGAGAGGCCAGGCCTCAGCCCTTGGTCTCCTCTTGTCACTCTCACTGCTCACCCCATCAGTCCACTCTGTCATCTTGTGGCGCAAGTCCACCCCCACACTGGCGACCTCCAAGGAATCCTCTCCACACTGGACCTCTTCTCCTGAACCTCAGCCTTTAGCTCTAAATGCACAAAGCTGTACTTGGAAGGACTAACTGCATCTCAAGCTGAACTGTTAAACTCTTAGCTCTCCCAGTCCTACAGTCTCTCTCCCTTCATTTAATAGCAATTCAATCTCTTCCATTGTTCAGCCAAAAACTTTGGGGCCATCTGTAACTCTTTCTTTTCTCCACTCTGATCTGTTAGCAAATCTTGTTGCTTCAATCTTTCACATTTACGCCGCCTGCTGCGCAAGCGCAAGGACCCGAGTTCGATCCCCAGCACCAAAAAAAACCCCAAAACTTTAACATTTAACCAATCTGGCCATTTCACACAACCTCAGCTTCTACCAACCTGATTTACACCACCGTTTCCCACCTGAATTACTCTAAAGACCTCCTAGCTGTTCTCTCTGCTTCCAAGACTATTAAGTAAGAGCATGCCACTCCTCTACACAAAAGCCTCTAGGGTTTTCTGTATTGCTCCGAACGAAAGGCAGAAGTCCTTAAAATTGCCTATATGTCTCTACAATCTGTCCATCTCCCTCCCATGTCTACCAACTCACACAACCTGCTCCAGTGATTCTAGTCTCCTTGTGTGCTTGTCCATGTATTGGTTTCCTAAATGCAGGTTTCTTCTTATATTTAAATGGCCCACTCCCTACACCCTTGGTGTGTATTAAAGCATCTGCTCCTCTAAAGGGGTCTTCCCCAGGTGCCCTTATTTATAATTGTGATCCTCTGCCTTTGACTATTTATCTCCCTTTCCTGCCTTGTTTTTCTCCCTGGTTTTTTTTGGTACTTGGGACCTTGTGCTTGTGAGGCTGGTGGTAAAATCACTGAGCTAAATCCCCAGCCCCTCTCACTGATGTTTTAACCATATAAGGTTACATGTATTTTTCTTATTTTCTATGTTTATTATCTACAAGCCAAGTTCTACAAGGCCTGGATTTCAGTTTCATTCACTGCTATACCAAAGTAGACTCGTGTAATGGATAAGGTCTCTCCTCCGGGAATGTCCTCCCTCTACCCCACACCAAACCCCATCGACTCCAGGGGATTTGGCTGTCCTGTCTCTAACTCCTACTGTGCTTGCTTATTGTAGGAATCTTGCTTTCTAAAAATCACAATTTAAAAAAGGTTTACTAGTTTTAATATACAGTCATTAGAAAAAAAATAAAACAAAAAATAGGGAAGCAAAAAAACTACCTGCTATATAACATTAAAGATTTATTATGAATGACACTTATGGAAAATAAATCTCACTATGTGATCACATCTTACTTATCTTATCCAATAAATATCTTCTCAGATATCTGAAAGATCCTGTTTAATATGGCTAGTTTCCTCCCATAACACTCACAATTACTAAGGATGAAGGAGTTTGCCTCCAGCACTACTTGGCTCAGTTGTTCTTCATTGTATTGAATGAATACTGAATATGGTCAGGTGGTTTTCCATATCTATAGAGATGATACCCTGATGAATTACACAGATTGATATTTTGATATCAAATATCATGTTAGGTGTAGTATTCTTTTTTTGGTACCAGGGATTGAACTCATGACCTTGCACTTGCGAGGCAGGTGTTGGAACCACTGAACTAAATCCCCAGCCCGTAGTTGTAGTATTCTGCAAATCCCAATGAAGTTAAGTTGGCTAATAATGCCCAAACCTTCTATATCTTACTGACCTCCTATCTACTGAAGTCTCCAACTCTAACTGCAGAATTACCCATCTCCTTCAGTTCTGTTAGTTTTTGCTAGATTCACTTGGAAGCTTTACTTAGATGCACACTTAGGATTGTTGTGGTTTTGTTTTTAGGAAATGTCTCTCTTTACTCCTGATAATATATTTTGCCCTGAGATCTCTTTAATTAATATTAACTTCGCCATACCAGCTTTGTTTGATCTGTTTTGTATTTTTTTCCTATTCATTACTTTTTAAACCATCAAGATATCCACAGTTAAAGTGGCCTTTACTTTCTAGACTCTAGAGGACAATTTAGCATACAGTTGAGTAGGTGCTGCTTTTTATAACCAGTCTGACAAAATTTGCCCTTTGGGTGGGATGTAAGTAATGTCACTATTTATATGTTTAACTCTATCATTTTTCCATTTGTTTTCTATTTGTTCCACCTGCTGTTTGTTCTTTCCTCCCTTTGGATTGTGCGTGTTTTTAAAAACTGTAGTAAGAACACTTAATATGAAATTTACTGTCCTAATGAACTACAAGTACAATGATGTACAACAGGCACCTGGAGAACTTATATCTTGCACAACTGAAAGTGTATACTCATACATTTGCTACTCTTCTTTTCCCCTGTGCCAGGTCCCTAGCAACAACCATACCTCTGCTTCTGAGGTCCACTTTGAATGACTCAGCTAAGGGGAGTAAGGCAGCCTCTCTCCAATCAGCTTATTCCACTTAGCAGAATGCCCTCAAGACTCACCCTGTTGTTTTTGGCTTCATTTATATCCGGTAAGAAATCAGTGGTTTCTATTCCTTTTTCCCTGTAAGTTATGAATTTTTCTCTACTGCTTTTAATATTTTCTCTTTACTTTAGGTTTCCGTAACTTGACTAAGATATCCTAAGGTCTGATTTTCTTGTGTTTATAAGGATGGGATTCAGGGAGCCTTCCTGGATCTGTGGGGTTGCCATCTAGGAGCCATTAGCTCTTTGAATATTTTTCCTCCCCGATTTCTTGCTCCTCTTCTTTAGGTTTGAATTATTTATGTCTTAGATTGTTTAATACTGTCTCATAGGTTCCTGAGTCTGTCCTGTATCATCTGTGTTTCAGTCTAGCTAGTATTTACTGTCATGGGTTCAGATCCAGTCACCTCTTCATGTTCAATCTCACTTACACCTATCTAGTGCACTTTCCATTTTTGATATGCACTGTTTCCATCCTAGATTTTCCTTTTTGTTTGTAGTTTCCATGTCTCTAGTGAGATTCCCCATCTACCCCCTTGTTATGTGCATATTCTATTTTAAATCCTTAACTCTGATATTTTTGAGTCATATATTTAAGCACTGTTAAGGTGGATACTAGAGTAGCTATTACCAGGGTAGCCCTATTCTACACTGTGTCATTGATGGGGTCTCAACTGTGTTCGGGTAGGCCCTTTCTCTTGAATTAGAATGCTTGTTCCTGAAATCCTGTAGCTCTGAAACCTCAATTTGGGTTACAACTCCCCAGGAGCTGTCTTCTCCCAGACTTGGACAGTGGCATGCCAACGGTGGAAATGGTCCACTTCATTAAATAGTTTTAGTTTATCCTCAATATTGTTTGGAATTGCTAGCACAGAATGATTCTGATAGTGGGCTTTTAAATTTCTTTAAAGATATACATTTCCCCTTATCTCCTGCCTCCCTCCCTTCTTTTCTTTGAAGACAAGATCTACTATGGAGTTCAGGCTCACCTCCAACTCACAATCCCCCTCTCCCAGCCTCTTGAGTACTGGGATTACAGTCGTAGATCACCATGCCCAGCTTCTTCATTTCTTCTTCTATCCTGCCCCATGCAGCCACCTCAACAGTTCTAAATCCCAATCCTCTGCCTTCTTCAGCTCAGTGATGTCAATGTGCTCTGCCTGACTGCCACCTCCTCACCCCATAGTCTGGAAAATGCTTCCAGACAGAAAACCAGGACATTTGTGGAGCTCAGTGCTTTCAGGGATGAGAGTCCTCTTCCATGTGCTGTCTGACACCGGAAACAAATGCTTTGGATGTCCACTGCTCCCCTATGTGGTAGTCTACTGTATGCCACCACTTAGTCACACATGGCTAGAGGCACGTATCTTTACCAAGGGTTTTAGGAAATGCATCTCGGGGCCGGGGATTTAGATCAGTGGTTCCACTGCCTGCCTTGCAAGCACAAGGACCCAAGTTCGATCCCCGGTACCAAAAAAAAAAGAAAGAAAGAAAGGAAATGCATCTCACTCCTAATTTATATATAAAGTTAAAATTTTTTCCCCTGATTTAGAAGAATGGTTTCCATTCTATAAACCCAATTTAATTTTGAAAACTTCCACGGAGGTCAAGACAATAGACTTAAAAAAGCCAAACTCTGCCCTCTCTGTTCTACTTTTCACATTAACAAATGCATTATTTAAAAGATAGTGAGTACCTTAATATCATATGAACAAATACATTTTTAAAATACAGTGAGTTTCTTAATAAAAACATGTTGACCTCTTACCTTGTAAAGTTTGAGAATGGTCTTAATGCACTCATGCACAAACTTGGTCTGCTTCTGAAGGCTTCCGCCGTACAGCGCCACCAGCTCTTCATTGAAATTCACACTGAAGAAGTCAAAGTGGTACTTGAAGTCAATGTCTTCTGCTTTCCTAAGGGCGATGGAGCCAATGGAACGGACTACAGGGGAAGAAACACACAGCAGATAGAATATTCTGAGGCTGCATCCACTCCTGCTTCAAAACTCTTAATAAATAAGCTTCATCATGAAAACGAACTTATTTGAGGGCAACATTCACTGATAGTACCAATTTAGAAGAACACATTAACCTAGTGGCTATGTGCCTTGAACATAGTTAAATGTGCCCTAAATGTTATCAGGTAAGTAAATAAAAAGTGAATAGGCTGCTCATTCTCTACGTACTTACTGAGGATTTTAAGCAGGAGAAGATTCCCATAGAAAATGCCTGTTCCCAGTTGGTTTAGGGAGATTATATAATTCCTTATTCAAAGCACTCTAGGGTTCCCATCTCACTTAGATAAAACCTCACGATCTTTTCCCCAGATTACGTGAGAGCCCATGGCCGCTTTTCCACTCTCTTCTCGCTGTCTCCTAACACAGTGGCCCTGAAGGCACAAAGCATGCTCCTGCCTCAGGGCCTCCCTGCACACAGTGGGGTGGAATTGCTTGCTATGTTTAAGCCTCTGCTCAAATTCTCACGGTGGTCTCTCCTGACCACCTCAGCTAAACTAGGCATCTCCTCTCCCTGTTTATCCTCTAACTTTTCTTCTAGCTGTAACATTACTGGCATGTTTGCCGGGTGGCTGTCTTCCCAAGAAGAATAATGCTTGATGAGAGAGGGACTTCATGTGTCTCGGGATGCACTGAATCCCTAGTACAGTGGTCTCCCTATGGCATGCATGCCCCAGCGGGCACACAGAGTGTTCTCTGTTGGCACACGAGCCAAGTCACCACAGCATCAACCCAGCGGCCAAGTATTCAGGTTTAATTGCAGGGTTGGCACTCTGTGATAAGTGGGTTTTGGGTTGCACTTTAGGCACTCCATCTCTAAAAGGTTCACCATCACTGCCCCAGTGCCTACAATACTACTACCTGGCTCATGACAGGTATCCATAAATATCTGCTAGATGAGTAAACACATCAGCAATTATAGTACATGTTGGGACAGTTAGTCTCATCAAGTAACAATTCTAGTCATTTAGTAACCAAGAAAACAAATTTTAGTTGAAAGTAAAATTACTTGCAGAGTCACATACTTTGTTGTTATGCCAAAAACCACTGTTGTTCTTCTCTAAGCCAACAATGAATTTGGAATCTGAGCATACAACTTTCCTACCTTCATAGTTCTGTGATCCCTTCTGTACCTCTAGATCTACCTTAAATAGCTCCAAAAGAAAAAAAAAACTCCTTTCCTTTCTTGTTCAACATAACATAAGCCACTAATTTATCTCCAATCAACACTCCAGGTTCTATTCTCTGTACACTCCATTTCTAACATAAACCTCTTTCTTCTGTTGATTCCCGAACACCTATTAATATTTATCCTGCCCCATTCCATCTTTCCCTTTTTCTCCTTCCCACCCTACAGCACTTCTTTTCCTTGTACCTCTCAAATGTGCTTTTTCTCAGGGAAAGCGATGTGTATCTCAGCTTCCAGTGAGCCTGACACAGTATTGTATTTAACATAGAGTAGGCGTTGCATTCACTTCATTTGCTTCACCCAGCATGCACAGGATTTGACTTCCTTAACTGAATTTCACAGCTTTCAAGTTTACTCCCAGTACCTACCTTGCTTGTAACTCCCAGCATTACCAGGAAGGAAGAGAACTGGAATTCCCGTCAAAGGGAGAATTTTGTGTTCTTCAGCATAGGATCCTTCTCCATAAAGGTATAACTCATAGGCTGGGTAGTGTTTTGCCAATTTCTTTGGAAGTTCTATTTTCTACAGCAAAAATAAATAAAGTAAGGTTCACTTTCATCAGTTTTAATAATACAATTCAGCCAAAATGCAATATAAAAATATTGCTAATGATAAAAACCACTTAATGCACAATTTATTCATATAGAGAATTATTCTTGAACTATGCGAGTTTTCAACCAGGCAGTCTTCAGAAAGCATAACAAAGGACCACCTAAAATTCTAAGAAATAAAAATTAGTCAAACCAGTCCCTGACCATCGCAGAAAAGCACTGGTATATGTCAGGAAAACACATATTAAAATAATCAGAATTGCACTTACTTTTGAATCAGTATCAATTATACTTAAAAATGAGAAAAGCTTTCCATTTGCAAATCAATTATCTTTTGCCATTTAGGTTGTTTTGCAATATCGCTCCTTTTACTCAGGCCCAACTATATATTCCAGCTGGTACATCTTTAGAGGAAAGCGTTGGTTTGACAATGCAGCTTTCTGACCTCTCAACTTCATATGCTTTGATTGACAATGTGCTTAATAAATTAATATGGGCTTCACAGCTATGTCTTGATGAAGATATGTATATTCTTCCCACTGTGAATGTTCCAATGCATTAGCATGTTTCAGTTCTCATGGACCAAGGGGTTGGTTTGTAGCGACCCTTAAACTACTCTATAGTTCCTATTGTTGTACATATACAAAAAGAGCCAGTTAGTCACATAAATATTTTCCATATAATATAAGTTAGGTCCTAATGTCATCTCCAAAAGGTAGACATTCATAAGAGGTGGTAAAGTACAAACAATTTTGGTTCTTTCTTTAAAAAAGGATAGAAACAACTAAAAATAAGACAATTAGGGCCGGGCGGGGATTTAGCTCAGTGGTTTCCCTGCCTGCTGCACAAGTGCAAGGACCCAAGTTCGATCCCCAGTACCAAAAAGAAAAAGAAAATAAGACAATTACACTGGAGAACAGAATTAAGTAGATATCAATAGAATGAGTTAGTGCTGTTATACATGTAGTATGAAAAAAAAATTCATGAAAAAAAAAAATCTCTGGCCCTTGATGAAAAATTTTAACTACTGGATGTTTTCAAAAACTGTAAATGTTGATCGCATGGAACACGCCGAATCAGCCCACTGCAGACAGGCAGGTCTGTGCACGGCCTACTGAGGCCCCGAGTCGCGCGGAAGACACCAAATTACCCCGCTGCAGACAGGCAGCCACCTGGTTCCACACTACAAAGACGCAGAGGACACCAGACCACCAGACCACGGTACTGAGTCCTGCTGCTCCTGGCCCAGAGGTAGGGGCTTCTGAGCTGCCGTCCCACTGCTCCTGGTCCAGAGGAAGGGGCTTCCCGGCCACCATCCCTCCCGCTGCTCCCAGCCCAGAGGAAAGGGCTTTTGGGCCACCTTCTGTCCCGCTGCTCCTGGCCCAGAAGAAGGGGCTTCCAGG